GTCGATTCCTTAGAACCTAGGAGGAGTGTGATAGACCTTTTTCAGCCTCTAACCATCTGTTTTATTTGTGTCATTATCATTTGTTATCGTTTATATCATCCCAATTGTCACCACATAATCCTCAGTGCCACCATGATGATGACGATGAAAGTTATCATATCTCATACTTTCATCGTCATCATCGTCGTCATCTTTTTCGTCTCATCGTCTTCGTCATCATCACAATCTTTCTTTTCAGCACCATAATTTGTATTGCAAATCATCGAAACGTCTTCCTGTGTTTCAAACAAGCTTTCCCTAGTCAGGAATCTTGAGAAATGACGGTTGGACATGCGAGTGTTGCAGACGAGAAACTCACGAATGCATTTTTCATGCTATTGGGATAACAATTTGAATTCAACGTTTTATAATAAACAAGCGAAATGTTTTATTTAGATTTCAAATATTTGAATTTATTTGTCGTATGCAGCTTTTGTGAAAAATTTTTAGAAGATATTTTCAGCATAATTGATTGACACTGTACTGCTGTTATTGTTTGTGAATTATTTACTACTGCTGCAGCTACTACTGCTGCTACAACTGCTGCTGCTACTATCACAGCTACTATTACGCTGTTGCTACTTCTTATGTTCAGACTTGCCATTTTTAGAATGTTATGAACATTTTATTTTATAGTGTAATTATGTTAGCAGATTATACAAATCTTTTGATGTTGATTAAGTTTTTAATGTGTAAATTCATTTATTTAGTTTAAAATGTGTTTCTAGGAAGGACAAACAAGCAACTAACGACTATATTGAAAAACAACAACAATCAAAAAATAAACATATATAATGTTTTTTGAAACAGTTGCCAGGAAGATGAAAATGGAAATAAAACTTAATTATGCAAATACTTCTGCCAACAAACAAAAATGCTCACTACAGAACTAACTTTCCACGCTCTTCTCTGTAGGCTACATAGATAAAACTTTCGATACTTTCTTTGGATTCGTTCGCAAGTTCGTTCGTTCGTTCGTTCGTGCGTTTGTTTGTTTGTTTGCTCTTTCGTTCATTTGTTTGCACGTTCTTTTTTTAACGCATAAAAATGTTTCGTTTGCTTTTAAGATTGCCAATATGTTGTTTTTTTGTTTTAATCAGGCCATTGTAAATTACATACATCTAATAACTCTCTCGTAAGTTTTTCTGAGCAATTTAGCTAGATCATCATCAGAAAATTGTGCTCACGTCTCTCTCTCTCTCTCCCTCTCACCTCTCTCTCTCTTTCTTCCTTTTATATTTATAACTAAGCAACTGAACATAAACCACAAATGTTTGCAGACTGACATGCAGAAAGGCACAGACGGCGAGATGATATAACAGCTCACGTATGCATATAACATGATGCGTCAAACTGCATGTGCGCTGTAAGTTGTTGATATCTCATAAAGGTGGAAGAGAATTTTTAGTAACAGTACTGAAATCCATATAAAAAATCTGACACACATGTAACATGCTTCTATTTCGAATATTTCATCTCTACCAATAAGTTTTTGTAGGTTTGCTTTAAAATAAATTAATTCTTACCAAGGGAAACCATCAGCATGTTTAATTGTGTTGAGTGCGTCTGATAATGTTCAAACTACCGAACTGGCTATTTTAAGTGACGAATATGCGCCGATTTGTAAAAGTGTAAATCTAAAAATGTTTGCTTAAACTAAAAATATCATTATTTAATTATTTTTATCGTATATTGTTGATAAAACATATTACACAAATAGCATCGCATTTCTGACGTTTATTTCTTTCATTTATTTCGATTTCGTATTTTCTATCACTTTTTTTCATTTTCTATCATTCTCCAATTATTTTAATTTTTTCAACCTTTCCTTGTCTCTTCCCTTGCAAACACTTTTTATAAATGGTGTCTCTTTTATTTCTTCTTTTATATTCCAACCATCGTCGTGCAATATATTTTCTTTCATGATTATTCTTCTGAGACTGAATTTTTTCAGAACTCGTGATAAGATTAAATATTTTTTGGTCGCAAGCACCGCACCAATAACAAACAAAAATAAAATGAACATTTGGTTTCGGCTAGCGGTTTTACCAGGCAAAAACACCTTCACAGCAATGCCTATTCTCCCCACTGTTTATATTTTTTTAGCTAATAAAAGTTTCCAAACGATTGAATGTTTTTGTATTTGTCTTTCACGATGATAATATCTTTTCTTTTAACAATGAGAGGTTTAATGGCTGAATTTTTATCTGCTATGCCAGGTACAACAACAACCAAAGCAAAAACCACAACAGCAGCATGCAGCAATAACAACAACAATAATAATAACAACACCAGCAGAAACAGCAATAAAAATATTAAATAATGGAAAAAATGAGGCTAACAATGGGGAGCGAGTTATTTAAGATAACTTCAGCGGTTCAATGGAATTCAATTACAAAATTTTCATTCGCATGCAGAAGACTGACAAGCAAAAATTGGAAGAAGTGACTTTTATAAAACACACATACACACCACACACACACACACACACACCACACACACACACACACACACACACACACACACACACACAAACACACACACAACAATAACACAGCAAAATATATTTATACAAACATTATAGTAGAAGCGTTTTAATATTATTAGAAAATAGTGGATGAGCAGAGTCTCGACATTTCACTGACCTAACACGTTATTAAGTTTCGCACATAAATTTTTATTAAAGTTGAGTTTGAGCCGAAAAAATAAGAAAGAAATGTATTTATAAATATATTAATTATTTTTACATTAATATATATTAATATTCATGTTTATATATGTTTTATATCATATAAAAAATATTGTTTTATTGAATTTTTTCCTATTATAAGTAAAATTTGTTTGCGCCCAAAAAGAATTTTCTAAAAATTGTCTTTTTAATCCAGCGTTTCAAACCATTACTATCATGCTACGTTATATATTGGCTTGCTACTGCTCTTTATTTCTTCCACATGTTTCGAATTATGCCTCTTCCTGGTGCATTTTTTCTACTTGGTGTGATTTCATTTTGTTGTTGCTAAAAAAACTGTGAAAAAAAATTCGAAAATCGTGAAAAGATTAACATTTCAAAGAGGCATTCGTTGTCGTGTTGTTATATTTGTAAAATTCCGTAAATTAAGTCAATTAAAAACTCATATAGCTTGAATTTTAAGTTGTGAAGAAAAAAAAACAAAAAATAATCATTTATAATAATCATCATCAGTAGCATAATAACCATCATTAGTATTTACGAAATGTCACGACGCCTCTAGCCACTCCATTCAATTAACATATCATAAAATAACCACCGAAAAACCCCACATAAAAACAGACCGACTACCCTTGCTTACGTTTCGAGGAGATTTCTATTTTCATTTGTACATTCATCTCGCTTTTCGTCTTCTTCCTCCATCTTTACTTTTGAATATTTTTAAAATATCAAACACAATTTAAATAACAATATATACGACAGTTATGATTGAATCGGACGTGATACGATATACAACCATTTTTACTTTCATATGATTAAAAATACAAACGTCTGGTATGAATGTACTCGATACACGCTGCCGATCAGCGGAGCGAGCCGAACTGAATGAACGAGTTCTGCCTAGAGCCATGTATCCTCGTGCGATGTATTCACTCGATCATTTATTCAATCATCCAATCAATCATTTATTTGTTTATTAATTAATTATCAGTTAATGTACTCATTTGTTCGTTTGTTCGTAAGTTGGTTTTGTAAAAGTTAAAAAAAAATGTTTCATTATGAATATTTTATTTTGAAAATTGATAATCTTTACAACTTTGAAGTGATTTTCAATGACTAACATACGACGCTAAGGTTTGCAAGCGTCCTATGTCAGAAATGAAAAACTTGATGTATTATATTTTTAAATTTTATTTTCAATCCTATGGAACGACATGTTGAACATGGAAATAAAAGAGTAATAACACAAAAATTATGATCAATAGGGGCTTTCGAAATATTCATTCACACTTTTATGTCTACACTGTGAAAGATACATAGGAGAGAGAGATGACAAGAGGAAGATAAAGAAAGAGAAAGAAAAAGAAAGAGAAACGAAACGAGAAAGAAACAAAGGAGGAAAGCAAGAAAAAGAGAGAAAGAGAGAGAAGGAATGAAAAGAAAAAAAACAAAGAAAAGAGACAGAGAAACAGTTAGACAGACAGACAGACCGACAAAGAAACAGAAAAAAGCAAGAGAGAAAAAAAATTGAGAGAGAACCAGAGTGAACAAGAAGAATGCACTAAACGACCGTGCAATCATTTCATTCATTATTAACTAAATTTTTATAATAACAGGCAATGGAGTAAACTTGTTTGAACATTTTTTGTCGTCGGTAGTAGATTAATTTTTTAATTTTTCGTTTATATATATATATATATATATATATATATATATATATACATAAATAAATATGTATATTAAAAACTAAAAACCTAAAAACCTCGTTCCAATATATATATATATATATATATATATATATACAATATATAAATAAATAAATATATATATATATAATTTTAATGTATGCTTGATTGGATAAAGTGCGTTAGTTTCATAATTATGTGATATATATTAATACTATGCTTTAAAATCTAATGATCTAATGTTATTTAAGTTGAACTAATGAGTAAAAACCACTGAAAGAATTAAGGTGTGACATATTTTGTTGAAAAAGTAACCTAAATTATAAAAGGTAACATTTTAAAAAGTATCTACACTGTTTATGGAACGTCATTTTAAGATAAGGGAAATGTTTTAAAAATTCACAAAGAAATGTTTGTGACTAATTACCTGGTTAGAACATGAATGTTGCTCTGAAAGTTTATCTAATCAGTTCACCAATTACAATTCACCAATCATCAAAATATGTATTCATTCATCAAAATAAGTTCCTCCATCAATAAATTGTGTGACAACTTCACTGACTCGTCCATTTCGATAGGTCAGCCATTCAAACTAGCAAATCTGAGGCTTCTCCTGCATTGAATGCACTTTTGTGACCACCCACCAATCCATCGTTCTCTGCTTGCTTCACTGGTCTTTTTGTTTCGTTAGCCAAAGATCTCGAGTGGAATCCACTTTTCATGTTCAACCCACCATTTTTTGTGACGTCACATCGACGTTGATCTGACGGCCAGCAGCAGGAGGAACAACTTCCGCATCTGTTGTTTTGGCCTCTGTTGCCACTTTTCGAGGTAAAAACTCGACAGAATTCCTTCCTGAACTTGTCTCCGGTTGAACAGTAGAGGTAGAAGTTGATGGCGTGGTTCAAGTACATCAGCAACTCGCACACGGCTCTCAACAGACCCAATTTGGCACTGGAGGATCTGAATTGAAGGATTTTACGTAGGGTTAATTTGAAATATTGGTTTATAACAATTATTATTGACGACAATTTATTTGTAATTCAGTAGTTATTACAAATACAAAAATCAGTTAAATTTAAAAACAAAATAAAATAACTTGTAACAGTTATTTGTAACGTGTGAAAAACAGTTTCAGTTGTCTATTTTGTTATGCCGAAGACGATGCATGTCCAATCGCCAACAATACACAAACAACACAGTGAACACACTGTGTTGTTTGAATATTGTTGGCGATTGAACGCGTTGTAGCAATGATTGTTGTCCGTGTGAAGAGTGTGACTGTTGTACTGAATGAATGAGTTGTAGTACTGCTTGCTGCTGTGAAATGGTTGGCGTAAGGAGGCTAATATGTTTTGGCCGGGCATTGTTGCGATGTCAGTCTGTCTGGTTGCTTTTTTGGTACGTTTGCAGTATTACAGTGCATGTTTGTCTGTGGGATGGTTGTTGATTTTAATAAAGTGTAGGTAACATTGTGTTTGTAATGAGGTGAATGTGATTGTTGTAAGATGAAAGTGATTGTCATAAGGTGAAGGTTATTGTAATGGGGATGAAAATAATTGTAACCATAACTTTGTTATCATAATTTTGTGGTTAAACTTCAACACACTGTCACACACAGGCAGGTCCAAACAATTGGTTTCTTGATAAACTCACAAACACACAACACGCACGCACACACACAAACACACATGCATCATCATCAATAAAGAATTGAATTTTTGATAATGTCGACACACACACACACACACACACACACACACACACACACACACGCACACACACACGCACACACACACACACACACACACACACGCACACACACGCATACCTACACAAACGCGCACACAAACATGCACGCACCACGCATAGATCATCATCATTGAAGAAACAGAAGAGAGTAGCAACATGATACCCCATCCATCCCCTCATCAACAGCACCAAACCAGTGTCAATAGAAATGTAAAAATACGAATGTTTGCTCTTTTGAATGTTGGTTGTTTCGTTCTTTCTTGATAAAAACTACTACAGCATGCTTTTTCAAGTTTTTAAATATTACAAGAATTTTGCAAAAAAATTAGCACACACGCAAACACACATATATACATACCTACATATATACATACCTACATATTTTGCCACTTATCATTTTACAAAAGATTTGCAAAATGATAAGTGGCAGGTCTGGCGACAGCAGAGAGCTATTTTTCGCCATGAATCATATATCTTGTTTGCTGCAAAGGTTTTTGCGCGTCTGTGTTACCGAAAATGTTCAATTAAACGCCGACGTGAGCGAATAACGAGATATCAATTGTTAACCGATTTTTTCAGATGTTTGACTGTTTAGTGTCACTCATCGCTGATTTGGTTTTAACCTACATATATACATACCTACATATATACATACACACATATATACATACACACATATATACACACACACATATATACATACACACATATATACATACACACATATATACATACACACACATATACATACACACATATATACATACACACATATATACATACACACATATATACATACACACACATAAATATATATTTACACACACACACACACACACACATATATATATTTATATATATATATATATATATATATATACACATTATATACATACACACATGTACACATACACATATAAAAAAATACACATTAATTTTTATCAAGCATTATATCAGCCTGGTGAGGACGAATTAATTGTCAAAATGTTGTTAAATGAACTTTAAATTTGGACACAAAATTTAGTCTGTATTTACAGTGGCGGATCTGGACAAGTTTGACGGGGGGCCCAAATTTTGAAAAAATATTTGTGTTTTTAATTTTTTTTTTTAATTTTGACGGGTTGGCAAGATTTGTAGTACAGCGGCCAAAATTAGGCTAACGACCTTATTTTTTTTCTTACCACGTCAATATTTGGTCAATTTTCGACATAAAACGCTGCTTTTCCAGTGCAAAAATTGAGTTTTACCTACTTTTTACACAAATACTGTTCACAAACACAAATTCCCGGCACACCTTAGATCTTAAATCTACCACTGTGTATTTATAATCTTACTCTATTTGCATTACTTCAGCCGTTCAAAACTTCGACATTTATCAAAAGGTGAACGTGTTAGTTCATTTCATATTATCAAACATTTCATGCTCGGACACTACGAAATTTTTTTCATATCCCAAAAAAACGTGACGAAAAATTTTTTGTTATAAAAATCAAATTCTTATCAGTCGGTAGGTATGCGGATGGAGGATAGAATTGATGAATGGTTCACCTTTGTTAACTTACACGTACGCTGTTTGGAAAAATGTGTAGTGATGTGATTGGGTGTAACAAAGCATGATGCGTTTGGAGGGTTATGTGACGTTATTTCGATGTAATGAAATGATGTCACTTGATGTGATTGATGAATGTAATGTAATGGAATGGAATGTTTCATGATTTCACGATAATGTGATGTTAGAAAGTGAAATGTGATGATGTGATGAGATGATATGGTGAGATGGTGAGGAAAATGGGGCGTTAATGTGATGTCAGGATGAAATGAGATCAGAGCAGATGAAATGTGACGTAATGTCACGTGATGATGTAGGGTGGCGGTGGTCTGTCCTATATCTACGCTGAATTCTGGTCAGTTGACGGATGGTGGTCATCACGTGATCAATATCAACTGCGCTTGTCGCCTGTCATTTGTCATTATCAATTCATATTTTTCCTTTTCAACTGGTTAAATAATTTTAAAATGTTTCAAAAATTCTATTTAAGTTGACAGACGCACATACACGCACAAAGACAAAGACACACTCACACAAACACACATACAAATAAAAAACGGAGAGGTAACGAACTCACACAAACATGTACAACATACATCTATGTATAAAAACATATGTATATTTATTCATCATGGTCAGTTTGCATAATCTAATATTTCACATTTGTTATAGTTTTTGTTATCTGAGGTTGTTTTGAGAAACAATGAAGTTATAGATCTTTTGATTTCGCATCGAATATCGTATTTCATTTATTCAGCTTGCAGTTCGTTTAGCTGCACATTTTTCCTGATGAAGAAATAAAAGTTATCAAATTTTTTAAACGAGAACATTTTTTTAAACAAAATCAAAAAAGTATCAAAAGAAATTATTAAACTGGAACTTATGTCACATATTGCACTTGCAATTAAAAATATACAAAAGACATCAAACACCAACATTGTCGATAGCGTAACTAATGATTATAATAATACTGACACATTGGTAATTAAGCTCTACAAAAATGTTACTTAGTGAAATGGTGTATGTAATGGTCAGGACTGGTCGTTTGAGTTAAGAATTCAAATTTTTGTCTTATTTTTCTTTATTGCATAGTACTCGTATTTGTATTAAATTCCGTCCTTAAATTCATCGCCATTAAGTTTTCTTCTACCGCCTTAATGTTCTTAATTGAATGCAATGCATATTGATACTTTCATGAATATGAATTCTGAAGTCACTGCTTGCTGCAATTCAAACGCAAGAGATGCCCGCCTATGGGTTTGTGTTTAATGATTCACCTCTTTTCACAGGCGCGCGCGTGTGTGTAAGAGGAGACTTATAAAAATTACAATGATATGCATTTTCTTTCTTCAGAACTAAACTATTTCCATGACATTTATTTGTTGAATTAATTTGCTTATCGAGTAGAAAACTTAATGGCGATGATTGTATGGACGGATTTTAATTCAAATACGAGTACCATGCAATAAAGACAAGATAGAAACATCAATAAATAAGCTAGCAAGCATGAAAACAAACAATGATTTCTAGACACCAATAAATCCAATATATTTAAATGAAAAAGAGAATATTCGAGAAGAATGAGCAGAAAATAAAAATCAAACTTCTGAATGAAAAATAACCTCCAACGATGAAAAAATCGCAGCCTAATGTCAATAAACATCGATGTCAGAAAAATTTATTTACAACGTAATGAAAGAAAAAATAAACTCACTCTTTCTCCCCTTGCGTTTGTCTCTCTCTCCCCTCTCTCTTTTTTTTCTCTCTCTCTCTTTCTCTTTCTCTCTCACTGATTTAGTTCAAGGATGAATGGACATAGAAAAAAGACATCATGTTATAAAGGATTTTTAAAAATAAAATCCTCTGACACAAAACGATGTTATCAGCAGACAGCATCAAGATATAATACACATCACTAACTTTGCTAGTACCGCTACTGCTACCACCACCACCACCACCACCACCACTACTACTACTACTACTACCTCTACTATTACTACTTTTTCTACTACTACTAATAATAATACTAATAAATATTAATACTACTATACTACGACTGAGCGTGTAAAACAGAGAATGTAAAAATGCGATACTTAATTCAAACAGTAATTTTTAACGTTTATCTAGGTATAATAATATACTGTATATAATAACATAGAAACGCAAAACAGTTGTATACTTCTCTTGCTGTTAAACATCACCACTTTATTAGTTCTACTTTTCTGCTGCTTCTACTACTTCTACTGCTATTCTTCTACAACTAAAAGAACGCCTACTGCTGTTGCCACTACTGCTACTACCTTTGTTGCAACAATACTTACTGCTGCTCCTTCCTTTACTACATTTGTTTCAAAACAACTATAGTAGCCACAATTCTGAATGCTTGCTATTGTAATATGAGGGGCTACAATAACACCATGGGAGTTGTTGTAGCCCCTGGAGTTTCAACTCGTGCAATGAAAAGTTATTCTCGACCGTCGATTGATAATAACACAAGTATGGTTTTGTCGTGATACTTTTGGGGATTTTTAGAAATTTGTTAAAATTGTTAACGATGTGTGTGAACTGTGAAGTCGTATTTTTTTTCTTTTAAGAGTATAGTCACATTTCATCAGAATCTCTGGATGGTGCGACACGAAAGGTCTCATATGATAAGCGGCAAAAATTTGAAAAATAAAAATGTACACACAAAGGGAATAAAATAAAAAATAAAATAAAAAAATGGTTATATGGTTATGTATTAAATTAAAGGAATGAACTCAAGCATTTGAAGCATTTTATTATTGTAAATGAAATTACACAAAATTAAAAGTGCTTAAAGTTAGAAATCTAAAAAATAGAGACACGAAAGGAATCACATTTGTGTGATGTGAAATGATTGATGATTGACGCGAACAACTGTACGAGGATTATGTATCGCATTTTGGAAGTTCTTCATTCATTTTTTTTTTTTTGAAAGAAATTTTGTTGTGCTGAAATGTTAACAAATGTTAATCATGAAAGTGTATTAAACATCATTGGTCAGGCTCTACCGGGCGTCGAGTTTATTCTTATGTACAACCATTGGTTCATGTTTTCAGCATGTATACAATACAAATCCATTGCCAGCATTCAACAAATAAATTTGAAATAACTTTTGAAAAATTGACAAATATAAAAACGAACAACAAACGCAGGAATAAATAACAATTCAACAATAAGAAACATTTTTATGGCATAATTTCATTTATTCATAAATAAACCGACGCCAATTGCAGTAACAAAATTATTGACTGGAAGGAAACATAATATCGCAGTTTTCCACATGAGTCGGACGATATAATATGTTAAAAAGTGTGCCGTTATTTTAAATTAGAAACGAAGACCTATATTAATTGTCTATCCAATATTTGCCTGTGAACGTTACAGCAATGACAAACCAGCCACAAACACAAACATCACCAGCAACAAGAAACAAGAAACAAACAGAAATTACAAGCGAAAAAAGTCTAATTATTATAAACGATGCGACGATAGATGAAATCGCTTTGATGTTAATGTGTTTTATGAGGAATTGATACTTTGCATTCAATTCAATTCAATTCAATTCGTTTATTTTCTCAAAAGAGGGGTAAACTAAAAAAGCAACCAAATGCTTGTAAGAAAGTCACCCTATCCAAATAAAATCAACATTGATCAACAAAAATCAAAAATTAAAATAGTTCGACAAAAATCAAGGATTAAACTAGATCGAAATAAATCAAAAGTTATTGAACTGCAGATTCTATTCTATTAATCTTATGAAACAGAGATATAGTTCAAAATGAGTACATAAAATTAAAGTTTTGAATTTAGGATTCTATAGCATTTCAATAAATTAAATGATATGAAACCAAATATACTTCAAAAGTAAGAGTACATACATATATACATACATACATGCATACATGCATACATGCATACATGCATACATGCATACA